CATGGCACTGGTGCTAAATTGGGCTAAAACCAGCCCAAAACACCAACCCTGAACTGACAACTGAGGGTGAAGTACCAGAGTTGGTCCTGGCCATCCATCACCAGACCCTGGGAATGTCCAGTCCCCTCTCAGACAGAGATTCTCTCCCCTGTTCCTGCTTGGAATGAAATGTGTGTGAGGTTCCTCCTTCGGGAAGGGGATGGTCCCCAAGGATTCTCTGTGAGGTTGAGAGAAAGAGACATTCCCACAAGAGTTGGTGGGGGGAGTGACATAGAGCCCTGGTTAAGAATTGTCACTTTTTGCTGGCTTTGTCAGAATTATTTAATGGAATTGCTTTGATAGAATCATTTAATAGAGTTGATTTGACAGAATAATTTATAGAATTGCTTTGCACAATGGCATCGCTGGCCACAGCAGCCACAGTGGCCACAGGACCTCATGGTTGCTCAGATAGAAGGAGAAGCCACTGGGACCAGTGCAGGACACCAGGGGGACAAAGGGGGACACACTGAAGGGTCACTGGGGACACGTGGGGTTACATGGGAAGGGTTCCTCCATGAGGGGTTCAGCATGGCCCCCGAGCTCCAACCGTATGAACTTTGGAACAGTAGCCATATCTTCTCATCTCTTAGGAGGCCTTTGGACATTATCCTTTTGTTCTCCTATGGAGAGAGTCTCTTTGTCAGTGATATGATTGAATTTGGTACGTTTTTATTGATTGCAATCTGTACTCCATGTATTCTACCCTAAATTTAGTATACAACCAGTAGTCTTAATAAGATAATAGCCTTACAGATGGGAACTGCTTTCACATCAAAGTACACAAACTTTTTCCATAAAAACCAAAAAAGGGGGAGATGTGGAAGACCCGACCGCTGCAGAAGCTGAACTGGGTAGCACTGCAGACCTTGTGGCTCTGGTCCAGTGAAAACTGTGGGAGAGATAAACTCAAGGTAAGAATGGAAGTGAAGACATCACGTCTGGTCACTCTGACCCTTGACGCTGACCAGCTCAGAGCAGGCCCAAAAAAGCAAGAGAGAGAGAGAGAGAGGCAAGAGAGGCAAGAGTAAGACCAAGAGAGGGAAGTTCCCGTTACAATACAATAAATCTTCCACGCGGCATATTCTAATTTTCACTAACCAATCTAGTACAAGATACAAATCCTACAGCCTTTACATACAGCCTATAAGAATCATGACATTACCATACTGTGTTACATTTTAAACCCTAAAAACTACTCTTTGGAGCCCTTCTGCCAAGCTAGTAGTGTCAGCTCTGCCCTGCTGTCTGCAAGGAGAGGGTATTGTTTCATCAAAAGGGGATTACCATCAGCTGGCCATGCCATCGTTTTCCAGTTGTTCAGAAACTAAGGCTTGGTATCTCAAACCTTGCTTTCATTTCAATATCATTTAAAGTTCCTATATTCTCAAAATCTTTTGCCACTTGCCAGGCAATCGTATTTATAAGGCTTTCCTGTTTCATCTTCCCCAACAGGGATCCAAGTTGAAAATTTTGTACTAATGTTTAAAAGCCAGGGAATCTCAGAAAAACGGAAAGCTGGACAAGACAAACGCAGGTCTGAACCAATGTGGTTAATCAAGCGTTCTCCGTTTATTCGAGATAAGATGGTAGTTTATATAAGCTTCCACATAGTTTACAAAAACAAAGACACTCTGATTGGCAAGCTAACATTGTTTACCTTTTCCTTAAAACGGCCTACACCTTACACTATGAAACCTATACTAATTCACACCCAGACAGCCCAGTGGTCCCCATCACACCTTAAGACTATTTCTATCTGCGCCACAAGCTCTGAATTTCTAACTGCGTCAGAGGCTTGAAGGCCCCACAAGGCCCAAATCTGAGGCCTAGACTGGAGTAGCTCAAATCTCATAACTCATGTCCTCTTTCTCTCAAAAATGCTGCAACAATGTTTTGACCTATAAATTCTGGTAAAATGGTGTAATAAATGGTTTGCTTTGCTGGCATTGCAGAGATGGTGTCTCTCAATCCCTGCACATCAACCCTCCAGTCCCAGTCCCAATCCTGTGTTTACCCTTCTGATGTCCCCCTGGTGCTCCCCAGGATCTCATTTCTGCTCCCAGAACTTTGTAACCCTTTTGTGACCCTCAGGACCCTCACTCAAATTCCTAAAGCCACTCCCTCACCCCCCCAGCCCCGACTGTCCGCCTTGGCCCTCACCCAGCCCCCAGGCACACTTCCAGTCCTGTTACCCATTTAATGTCACCCCAGCAGCCCAGCTCAAACCCACGGATCAACCCCTGACCCCACAATGTCCCCCTGAAGCCCTCCATACCCCAGCCCCACAATCCAGGTCCCGTGTCCCCCCACAAGTGACACCAGGAGTCCCCCCAGCCCCTGATACCGAAATTGGCCAGAGTGAAGGCCCAGACAGAACTGGAGGTATCAGAAAACTGGAATTCTTTATCAGCTTGAACTCACAGCAGATCTCTCCTGGTCCTGCAGGCCAGGGAGGATTTTCCCACACAGAATGTATCCACCATTATTATACATATTCATTAGAATGGGCTTCTTAGCTAAAACAAAACCAGCCCTTTTCCCGTAAATAATCAGCATAGCTCTACCTCTTTTAGGAAATAATGTTATTGTCCTGGAGAGTCATAACAATGCGGTTTGCGGGGCTCCTTTTCACCGAATGCCCCAATATCTCAGATGACCTTGCCTTGAACTTTCACTTTGGGGTGGTGCAGCTCCTTCTGTGCTGCAGAACTTGCCAAAACCCCCCACTGGTGCTCCATTTATCTCTGTCTCCACATGTTCCAGCCACCTTTACCCTGCTGTGTCCACACTTTTACATCCTCTATGGTTTTTTGCTCGTTTATCTTTAAGCCCTATCCAGCACCATTAAGGGATCTGAAACTTTCAATTCCCTCTCTGATTTCTCACCCCTCACGACCCCACTCCCACGCTCCCATGGCCCCCAGTGCCCCCCAGCCCCACTCCCCACTGCTCACTGAGTTCCTGCACACCTCAGATCCCAAACGGGGTCCCCTATCCGATGACATCCCTGCAGGCACCTCCAGCCTGGGGATGATCTCTTGGGGCAGAGCCTGGGTGACTTCCCTGGCCTTGCTGGCGTGGCAGGAGAAGGTCTGGACCCCAAAAAAGGGATCCACCAGCCCCAGGAGATACCTGAGCCCATGTTGGCGTGGTAGCTCAGAAAATCCCTTTGCCACTAATCCCCAGGAGTGTTTCCTCTTCCAGCGATGCCTGGAGGTGATGGCTTTGAATTCCAAGGGCTCTGTTTAAAACATCTCGGGCTTTGCTCTGCAACAGACCCGACAATTTTGTCCTGTGGACACTGAGGATCTGAGGCCACAGACCAGTCCCCATCGCATCGATTCCCCAGAGCTTTGCTGGTGCATTTCTCCTTTTCAAATTTCAGCATCAGCTGGGGAGTGCCTGACTTCCATAGGTCTCCTGAAGTCTCCCCCACGTTCTGAGCCAGGACTCTGAGGACCCAGTGCTGTCCTTGGCACACAGAAAGGTCAAAGGGCTTTGTTAAAGTCCGGAAATCCCATTGGAAATGTGGAAATCAGGGCTATTTTTGAGTTACAGAATGTGTGTCCTTCCTCAGGAATCCAAATCAAAGTTCATTCTGGAGCCTCCTTTGTGGGGGAGACTTCAGGGAACTTGTGGGATGCTTTTTCAAACAACTCAATCAGCCAGGATTCGCACAGATGCCTGTGGGGCTGTTCTCCTCGTCCAAGAGGCCAGGAAATCCAATTTGGGACAAAGATTTATGGTATATACGTTTCTCTCCGTAACTGCAAGAAGATGTGGAACAAAGGGAGGAGCTCGCAATGAAACAAAGAGCTCTGGAATTGGCAGCAGGAAAAAGAGCAAACCTAGGAACTCACCTGACATCTGCTCTGAGCATTGCTCATGCCCATGGAGCCATATGGAAATGAAGAAGTCAATTAACAGCTCAGGGATCTCCAATTAAATATAAACAAGGATTACTGTCCCTCCTCGATGCCATCCTACTACAATCCAGGGTACACCAGCTTGGGGATTGACAATTCCGTGTGGGAAATAGACTTGCAATAAAGCTGCACAAGAGGTTTCCAGCAAAGCATCCTGGTGTTAATTCCTGGGAAAGGAATTTCAGCCCCAGAGGTGAGGCCTGGATAGAGTTGGGCAGATTGAAAATTGGCTACAATAAAGAGGGTGGGTGAGAGGTAACTCCCGATACCGAGATCAGGCCCTCCCCAGCTGATGCTGAAATTTGAAAAGGAGAAATGCACCAGCAAAGCTCTGGGGAATCGATGCGATGGGGACTGGTCTGTGGCCTCAGATCCTCAGTGTCCACAGGACAAAATTGTCGGGTCTGTTGCAGAGCAAAGCCCGAGATGTTTTAAACAGAGCCCTTGGAATTCAAAGCCATCACCTCCAGGCATCGCTGGAAGAGGAAACACTCCTGGGGATTAGTGGCAAAGGGATTTTCTGAGCTACCACGCCAACATGGGCTCAGGTATCTCCTGGGGCTGGTGGATCCCTTTTTTGGGGTCCAGACCTTCTCCTGCCACGCCAGCAAGGCCAGGGAAGTCACCCAGGCTCTGCCCCAAGAGATCGTCCCCAGGCTCGAGGTGCCTGCAGGGATGTCATCGGATAGGGGACCCCGTTTGGGATCTGAGGTGTGCAGGAACTCAGTGAGCAGTGGGGAGTGGGGCTGGGGGGCACTGGGGGCCATGGGAGCGTGGGAAGTGGGATTGTGCTGGTGAGTGCGTGAGTAATAAGAGAGAGAACAGAAAGTTTCAGATCCCTTAATGGTACATAGGGCTTAAAGACGAACGGGCAAAAAACCATAAAAAGATGTAGAAGTGTGGACACAGCAGGGTAAAGGTGGCTGGAACATGTGGAGACAGAGATAAATGGAACACCGGTGAGTGGTTTCTAGCAAGTTCTGAACACAGAAGGAGCTGCACTGTAGCAGCCACAGGGCCTACAAGACCTCTCTGCTGGTCAGTTCCCTAAGGTAAGAAATGCCTAGCGATGATGACTGGACCAAGAGGACATTGGTTCCTGGGACACCTACAGCAGCACAGACCCCGAGAACCCAGACTGTAACGCTCCACCTGCCCAAAGAGAAAGTTTGAGGCAAGGTCGTCTGGGATACTGGAGCACTCAGTGAAAAACACACCCATTTTTCTGACTCTCCAGGACAATAACAATTCTTTTCTAAAAGAGGCGGAGCCATGCAGATTATTTATGGGAAAAGTGCTGTTACTGTATCAGATAAGCGACACATCTTCATGAATATTTATAATTATGATGGATAAATAGCCCATGGCAAAGTCCCCCTTGACCTGCAGGACCAGGAGAGATCTGCTGTGAATCCAAGCTGATAAGGAATTCCGGCATTCTGATACCTCCAGTTCCATCAGGGAGCTCACTCCAGCTGATTTTGGTACTGGGGACTGGGGGACCCTTGAGGGCGGAAACGTGGGGCTGTGGGATTGGGGTCTGGGGGAGGTCTGGGGCAGCGATGGGGGACACAGGACCATGGTGGTGGCAGTGGCATACTGGGAGGCACTGGGGGACACTTGGGTGCACAGGGGACTGGACTGGGGTCCTGAGGGTCCACTGGGGTGGTCATGAGACTGGGAGTGGGATTGGGATATGGGAAGAGGACAAGGGGGACACTGGGGGACCCCAGGCCTTGGGTCAGGGTCCTGGGGGGCACGGGGTCACTGGGAGTGGTTCAAGGGACTGGGAGAGGGATTGGGGTAACAGAGGCACTGGGACACACCGGGAGGGGGGACACAGAATGGTGGGAGTGGGATTGGGGTGCAGGGGGGCACTGGGGTTGCTTGGGGAGGGTCAGGGATTGACGGCAGGATTTGAATCAGGGTCCTGCAGGGGGGCTGACAAGACACGGTGAGGGGGGATATAGGACTGTGGGAATGGGATTGGGAGTCTGGGGAACACTGGGGGAGAGCTCCAGGAGTGTTCCCAGGATTTGGGATCAGGGTCCCAGGACATGTCCAGGGGTCTCCTGGTTGGGGCTGCCCCTCAGTCTCCCCGGGCTGCCCCCAATCTTCCTCCTCACCAAAGAAGCCTCCCCATGTCCCACCACGTCCCTCAGCGTCCCCTGTGTCCCATCAGTGTCCCCTCAGCATCACCTGTGTCCCATCAGTTGGGGGCCAGTTCCAAAGTAGCTGATTTGCGGTAACACAAGAGAAGAAGCATTGGGAGGAAAACAAGTAAAACGGAAAGAAAAAGGATGAAAACTAAAATGGAGCAAAGGGGAGAGAGGCAGCAGCACGCATTTATTTATGAAAAGCCCCGGTTTTCTCTCGGATCGGGGATTTTCCCCTTTGCCCGCTCGTCTCCGGGCGCTGCGGTTCGGGCTTTGCCCACCGGAGGGCGGCAGCGAGCGCGGCAATCCGCGCTCCGGCTGCAGTTCCGGGTGCCGCCAGCAGGCGGCAGCACGAGCCGCGGGCGCTGCCGAGCGCCCGGCCCGGCCCGGCCCGGCCCGGCCCCGGGGGCTCTGCGGGGTTTGGGATGGAGCGACCTTAAAGCCCGTCCGGTGCCAGCCCTGCCCTCCACGCAGCCCCCCGAATGAATCCGACTAGCTCAGAGATATGGGGCTGTGAGGGGAGGAATACCAGGAGAGGGAAAAGTATTCAAAAGAGGCTCTTACACCAGGGTGTTGGAACAGCTCTCTTTATTCTGTGGTGTCCATGGAGAGCGGGGCAAAAGAGAAAGAGCAGGAAGTTTTAGGGGTCTATATAGGTTTTGGACAGGGTGGGCTCTCCTGGCTCCCCGCCAACCCCGTTGGGGCAGGAAGGAGGATCCAGGGGTATCATGATCAGTGGCCCGGGGGAAGGGGGCCACAGGGTGCCGTGAGCTCACCGTAACACCCAACCTACTGAGTAGTTCTTCAAAGCCATCACAACCCATCTTTCCTATAAAATCCTTCCCTGAGGCGGTGGTGTTGCCCTTGGCACAGGTTGCCCAGAGAAGCTGCGGCTGCCCCATCCCTGGCCATGTTCCAGGCCATGCCAGGCGGGGCTTGGAGCAGCCTGGCCCAGGGGAAGATGTCCCTGCCCAGGCCCCGCATGGCCCCAATCCCACTCCCACCACTCATGTCCCCCTCACTTTCCCCCAGAGCACCCCATGACCCCATTCCCAGTCCTGTGACTCCCCCAGTATCCACCCAGCACTGCAAACCCAATCCCACAGTCCTGGCTCCCCACCCAAATGTCCCCCACGAGTGCCCCCAGTCCCTGATGCTGAAATCTGGGATTGAACTCCCTGGCGGGGCTGGAGGTCTCAGAAAACCGGAATTCTTTATCAGCTCCAACTCACAGCGGGTCTCTCCTGGTCCTGCAGGTTGGGGGACTTTGCCACAGGGAATTTATCCAGCATAATTATGAATACTCATGAAAATGGGCTTCTGAGCTAATACAGAAACAGTCTTTTCCTGTAAAAAATTTGCATGGATCCACCTTCTCCTGCAAGTTGTTTTATTGTCCTGGAGAGTCGTAAAAATGGGTTTCGGGGGATCATTTTCACCAAATATTTTGATATCACAGGGACTTTTCCTGGAATGATTTCTTTGCACAGGTCCTGTTGGTTCCTGTTACAGAACTTCCCAAAGCCCACTGGAGATTCCTTTATCTGTTTCTCCATGGGTTCTAGCTGTATTTTTCACCTGTGTGCAAACCTCTCTATCCTTTTATAATTTCTGCCAGTTTGTCTTCAGGCCCTGTCCAGCACCTTCAGGGAAACGGAAAATTTCCATTCTCTCAGTTGTTTGTTACAGAAATGCTCCAGTCTTGGTATCATCCATGCTTCCCTCCAGGAGCTCCAGGCCTTCCTGGTCCTGGTGATCCCAGAACAGGAAAGAACACTGGGCAGAACTGGACATAGCACTGTGCAAAACTGGAGGTGGCACTGGGCAGAGCTGGACACGGCACTGGGCAGAGCTGGACACGGCACTGGGCAGAGCTGGACATGGCACTGGGCAGAGCTGGACACGGCACTCCCAATGTGTCTCCCTGGGCAGGCCACAAGGGCACAATCACTCCTTGACCTCCTGGCCCTGCCCTTCCCAATGCCCCCTGGATCCCTCCTGGCCCCAGGCCACACAGCAGCTCCACTGGTCACCCACCAGCACCCCCAGCTCCTTCTCCAGAGCTGCTCCAGCAAGTCCCCCCTGCCAGGAAGGGCATGGCACTGGTGCTAAATTGGGCTAAAACCGGCCCAAAACACCAACCCTGAACTGACAACTGAGGGTGAAGTACCAGAGTTGGTCCTGGCCATCCATCACCAGACCCTGGGAATGTCCAGTCCCCTCTCAGACAGAGATTCTCTCCCCTGTTCCTCCTTGGAATGAAATGTGTGTGAGGTTCCTCCTTCGGGAAGGGGATGGTCCCCAAAGATTCTCTGTGATGTTGAGAGAAAGAGACATTCCCACAAGAGTTGGTGTGGGGAGTGACATAGAGCCCTGGTTAAGAATTGTCACTTTTTGCTGGCTTTGTCAGAATTATTTAATGGAATTGGTTTGATAGAATCATTTAATAGAGTTGATTTGACAGAATAATTTAATAGAATTGCTTTGCACAATGGCATCGCTGGCCACAGCAGCCACAGTGGCCACAGGACCTCATGGTTGCTCAGATAGAAGGAGAAGCCACTGGGACCGGTGCAGGACACCAGGGGGACAAAGGGGGACACACTGAAGGGACACTGGGGACATGTGGGGTTACATGGGAAGGGTTCCTCCATGAGGGGCTCAGCATGGCCCCCGAGCTCCAACCATATGAACTTCGGAACAGTAACCATATCTTCTCATCTCTTAGGAGGCCTTTGGACATTATCCTTTTGTTCTCCTATGGAGAGAGTCTCTTTGTCAGTGATATGATTGAATTTGGTAGGTTTTTATTGATTATAATCTGTACTCCATGTATTCTACCCTAAATTTAGCATACGACCAGTAGTCTTAATAAGATAATAGCCTTACAGATGGGAACTGCTTTCACATCAAAGTACACAAACTTTTTCCATAAAAACCAAAAAAGGGGGAGATGTGGAAGACCCAACTGCTGCAGAAGCTGACCTGGGTAGCACTGCAGACCTTGTGGCTCTGGTCCAGTGAAAACCGTGGGAGAGAAAAACTCAAGGTAAGAACGGAAGTGAAGACATCACGTCTGGTCACTCTGACCCTTGACGCTGAGCAGCTCAGAGCAGGACCAAAAAAGCAAGAGAGAGAGAGAGGCAAGAGAGGCAAGAGCAAGAGCAAGAGCAAGACCAAGAGAGGGAAGTTCCCATTACAATACCATAAATCTTCTTCCCTGCGGCATATTCTAATTTTCACTAACCAATCTAGTACAAGATACAAATCCTACAGCCTTTACATACAGCCTATAAGAATCATGACATTACCATACTGTGTTGCATTTTAAACCCTAAAAACTACTCTTTGGACCCCTTCTGCCAAGCTAGAAGTGTCTGCTCTGCCCTGCTGTCTGCAAGGAGAGGGTGTTGTTTCATCAAAAGGGGATTACCATCATCTGGCCATGCCATCGTTTTCCAGTTGTTCAGAAACTAAGGCTTGGTGTCTCAAAGCTTGCTTTCATTTCAATATCATTTAAAGTTTCTATATTCTCAAAATCTTTTGCCACTTGCCAGGCAATCATATTTATAAGGCTTTCCTGTTTCATCTTCCCCAACAGGGATCCAAGTTGAAAATTTTGTACTAATGTTTAAAAGCCAGGGAATCTCAGAAAAACGGAAAGCTGGACAAGACAAACGCAGGTCTGAACCAATGTGGTTAATCAAGCGTTCTCCGTTTATTCCAGATAAGATGGTAGTTTATATAAGCTTCTACATAGTTTACAAAAACAAAGACACTCTGATTGGTAGGCTAACATTGTTTACCTTTTCCTTAAAACGGCCTGCACTGTACACCATAAAACCTATACTAATTCACACCCAAACAACCCAGTGGTCCCCGTCACACCTTAATACTATTTCTAGTCAAAAACTCTGAATTTCTAACTGCGTCAGAGGCTTGAAGGCCCACAAGGCCCAAATCTGAGGCCTAGACCGGAGTAGCTCAAATCTCATAACTCATGTCCTCTTTCTCTCAAAAATGCTGCAACAATGTTTTGACCTATAAATCCTGGTAAACTGGTGCAATAAATGGTTTGCTTTGCTGGCATTGCAGAGATGGTGTCTCTCAATCCCTGCTCATCAACCCTCCAGTCCCAGTCCCAATCCTGTGTTTACCCTTCTGATGTCCCCCTGGTGCTCCCCAGGATCTCATTTCTGCTCCCAGAACTTTGTAACCCTTTTGTGACCCTCAGGACCCTCACTCAAATTCCTAAAGCCACTCTCTCACCCCCCCAGCCCCGACTGTCCTCCTTGGCCCTCACCCAGCCCCCAGGCACGCTTCCAGTCCTGCTACCCATTTCATGTCACCCCTGCAGCCCAGCTCAAACCCACGGATCAACCCCTGACCCCACAATGTCCCCCTGAAGCCCTCCATACCCCAGCCCCACAATCCAGGTCCCACGTCCCCCCACAAGTGACACCAGGAGTCCCCCCAGCCCCTGATACCGAAATTGGCCAGAGTGAAGACCCAGACAGAACTGGAGGTATCAGAAAACTGGAATTCTTTATCAGCTTGAACTCACAGCAGATCTCTCCTGGTCCTGCAGGCCAGGGAGGATTTTCCCACACAGAATGTATCCACCATTATTATACATATTCATTAGAATGGGCTTCTTAGCTAAAACAAAACCAGCCCTTTTCCCGTAAATAATCAGCATGGCTCTACCGCTTTTAGGAAATAATGTTATTGTCCTAGAGAGTCATAACAATGCGGTTTGCGGGGCTCCTTTTCACCGAATGCCCCAATATCTCAGATGACCTTGCCTTGAACTTTCACTTTGGGGTGGTGCAGCTCCTTCTGTGCTGCAGAACTTGCCAAAACCCCCCACTGGTGTTCCATTTATCTCTGTCTCCACATGTTCCAGCCACCTTTACCCTGCTGTGTCCACACTTTTACATCCTCTATGGTTTTTTGCTCGTTCGGCTTTAAGCCCTATCCAGCACCATTAAGGGATCTGAAACTTTCAATTCCCTCTCTGATTTCTCACCCCTCACGACCCCACTCCCACGCTCCCATGGCCCCCAGTGCCCCCCAGCCCCACTCCCCACTGCTCACTGAGTTCCTGCACACCTCAGATCCCAAACGGGGTCCCCTATCCGATGACATCCCTGCAGGCACCTCGAGCCTGGGGACGATCTCTTGGGGCAGAGCCTGGGTGACTTCCCTGGCCTTGTTGGCGTGGCAGGAGAAGGTCTGGACCCCAAAAAAGGGATCCGCCAGCCCCAGGAGATACCTGAGCCCATGTTGGCGTGGTAGCTCAGAAAATCCCTTTGCCAGTAATCCCCAGGAGTGTTTCCTCTTCCAGCGATGCCTGGAGGTGATGGCTTTGAATTCCAAGGGCTCTGTTTAAAACATCTCGGGCTTTGCTCTGCAACAGACCCGACAATTTTGTCCTGTGGGCACTGAGGATCTGAGGCCACAGACCAGTCCCCATCGCATCGATTCCCCAGAGCTTTGCTGGTGCATTTCTCCTTTTCAAATTTCAGCATCAGCTGGGGAGCGCCTGACTTCCATAGGTCTCCTGAAGTCTCCCCCACGTTCTGAGCCAGGACTCTGAGGACCCAGTGCTGTCCTTGGCACACAGAAAGGTCAAAGGGCTTTGTTAAAGTCCGGAAATCCCATTGGAAATGTGGAAATCAGGGCTATTTTTGATTTACAGAATGTCTGTCCTTCCTCAGGAATCCAAATCAAAGTTCATTCTGGGGCCTCCTTTGTGGGGGAGACTTCAGGGAACTTTTGGGATGCTTTTTCAAACAACTCAATCAGCCAGGATTCGCATAGATGCCTGTGGGGCTGTTCTCCTCGTCCAAGAGGCCAGGAAATCCAATTTGGGACAAAGATTTATGGTATATACTTTTCTCTCCGTAACTGCAAGAAGATGTGGAACAAAGGGAGGAGCTCGCAATGAAACAAAGAGCTCTGGAATTGGCAGCAGGAAAAAGAGCAAACCTAGGAACACACCTGACATCTGCTCTGAGCATTGCTCATGCCCATGGAGCCATATGGAAATGAAGAAGTCAATTAACAGCTCAGGGATCTCCAATTAAATATAAACAAGGATTACTGTCCCTCCTCGATGCCATCCTACTACAATCCAGGGTACACCAGCTTGGGGATTGACAATTCCCTGTGGGAAATAGACTTGCAATAAAGCTGCACAAGAGGTTTCCAGCAAAGAATCCTGGTGTTAATTCCTGGGAAAGGAATTTCAGCCCCAGAGGTGAGGCCTGGATAGAGTTGGGCAGATTGAAAATTGGCTGCTTATCTAAAAGTCTACAGTAAAGAGGGTGGGTGAGAGGTAACTCCCGATACCGAGATCAGGCCCTCCCCTGCTGATGCTGAAATTTGAAAAGGAGAAATGCACCAGCAAAGCTCTGGGGAATCGATGCGATGGGGACTGGTCTGTGGCCTCAGATCCTCAGTGTCCACAGGACAAAATTGTCGGGTCTGTTGCAGAGCAAAGCCCGAGATGTTTTAAACAGAGCCCTTGGAATTCAAAGCCATCACCTCCAGGCATCGCTGGAAGAGGAAACACTCCTGGGGATTAGTGGCAAAGGGATTTTCTGAGCTACCACGCCAACATGGGCTCAGGTATCTCCTGGGGCTGGTGGATCCCTTTTTTGGGGTCCAGACCTTCTCCTGCCACGCCAGCAAGGCCAGGGAAGTCACCCAGGCTCTGCCCCAAGAGATCGTCCCCAGGCTCGAGGTGCCTGCAGGGATGTCACCGGATAGGGGACCCCGTTTGGGGTCTGAGGTGTGCAGGAACTCAGTGAGCAGTGGGGAGTGGGGCTGGGGGGCACTGGGGGCCATGGGAGCGTGGGAGTGGGGTTGTGCTGGTGAGTGCGTGAGTAATAAGAGAGAGAACAGAAAGTTTCAGATCCCTTAATGGTGCATAGGGCTTAAAGACGAACGGGCAAAAAACCATAAAAAGATGTAGAAGTGTGGACACAGCAGAGCAAAGGTGGCTGGAACATGTGGAGACAGAGATAAATGGAACACCAGTGAGTGGTTTCTAGCAAGTTCTGAACACAGAGGGAGCTGCACTGTAGCAGCCACAGGGCCTACAAGACCTCCCTGCTGGTCAGTTCCCTAGGGTAAGAAATGCCCAGCGATGATGACTGCACCAAGAGGACATTGGTTCCTGGGACACCTAGGGCAGCACAGACCCCGAGAACCCAGACTGTAACGCTCCACCTGCCCAAAGAGAAAGTTTGAGGCAACGTCGTCTGGGATACTGGAGCACTCAGTGAAAAACACACCCATTTTTCTGACTCTCCAGGACAATAACAATTCTTTTCTAAAAGAGGCGGAGCCATGCAGATTATTTATGGGAAAAGTGCTGTTACTGTATCAGATAAGCGACACATCTTCATGAATATTTATAATTATGATGGATAAATAGCCCATGGCAAAGTCCCCCTTGACCTGCAGGACCAGGAGAGATCTGCTGTGAATCCAAGCTGATAAGGAATTCTGGCATTCTGATACCTCCAGTTCCATCAGGGAGCTCACTCCAGCTGATTTTGGTATTGGGGACTGGGGGACCCTTGAGGGCGGAAACGTGGGGCTGTGGGATTGGGGTCTGGGGGAGGTCTGGGGCAGCGATGGGGGACACAGGACCATGGTGGTGGCAGTGGCATACTGGGAGGCACTGGGGGACACTTGGGTGCACAGGGGACTGGACTGGCGTCCTGAGGGTCCACTGGGGTGGTTGTGGGACTGGGAGTGGGATTGGGATATGGGAAGAGGACAAGGGGGACACTGGGGGACCCCAGGCCTTGGGTCAGGGTCCTGGGGGGCACGGGGCCACTGGGAGTGGTTCAAGGGACTGGGAGAGGGATTGGGGTAACAGAGGCACTGGGACACACCGGGAGGGGGGGACACAGAATGGTGGGAGTGGGATTGGGGTGCAGGGGGGCACTGGGGTTGCTTGGGGAGGGTCAGGGATTGACGGCAGGATTTGAATCAGGGTCCTGCAGGGGGGCTGACAAGAAACGGTGAGGGGGGATATAGGACTGTGGGAATGGGACTGGGAGTCTGGGGAACACTGGGGGAGAGCTCCAGGAGTGTTCCCAGGATTTGGGATCAGGGTCCCAGGACATGTCCAGGGGTCTCCTGGTTGGGGCTGCCCCTCAGTCTCCCCGGGCTGCCCCCAATCTTCCTCCTCACCAAAGAAGCCTCCCCATGTCCCACCACGTCCCTCAGCGTCCCCTGTGTCCCATCAGTGTCCCCTCAGCATCACCTGTGTCCCATCAGTGTCCCCTCAGCATCCCCTGGCGTCCCCCAGTGCCCGCCCTGTGTCACACAGCGTGTCCCCTGTGTCCCCTCTGTGTCCCCCAGTGTCCCCCACTGCTCCCCGTGGCCTCTCTTCTCCATGGCCCCCCTGGCTCAGACCCTGGCTCTGCTGGCAATGGCTGTGGCCGCCGTGGCTTTCGGTGTGGTGCCCCTGGACATGGCCCCGAACTCCTTTGATGACCAGTACCTGAACTGCGGCCCCGCCATGGCCGCGGCGTTGCCGGCCCTCAACAGCTCCGAGTTCCAGCAGAACGAAGCGTTTGCCCAGGTCTGGGTGAAGGCCACGGCCGAGTGGCAGAAGCAGCGCTCCAAATCATCCGCTCTGTCCCCGGCCCAGGCCATCGCCGTCATGGCCTACACCATGAATGATGTGTACGAGCAGTTCAACGCGGCCGTGCGCACGGCTGGAAAATCCAGCCAGCAATACCGGGACAACTTCCACTTCAAAACGCTGCATTTCCTGCTGACCCAGGCCCTGCAGAAGCTCAGAGACCCTAAGAAGTGCTGGAATGTGTGCCGGGGGGCGAAACCTGTCCAGTCCACTTTGAAAGTTGGCGAGACAGTCCGCTTCGGTCAATTCGCTTCATCGTCGCTGAAGAAATACGAGGCTCAGTGTTTTGAGAAAGGCGCAATGTTCGAGGTGTACACGTGTCATGGCGCAGACATCCATGAGTTCTCTCGCTATCAATACGAGCAGGAGGTGCTGATCCCACCCTTTGAGACCTTTCAGGTCATTGATGTCAAGAAGGAAAGTCACACAATGAAAATTGTGCTTCGCTCCACCGGGAACTCCAGCAACTACAACTGCGAGTGGCTGCGAGGTGACATCATGGGGACAACCTGGGGGGATGGGGACACTCAGCGAGGGCTGGGGGTGAGGACACATGGTGCAGGGGACAACCGTGGCCAAGAGGGGACAGGGACACCCACTGTGGGTGGGAGGCAGGACAGCCAGAGCTGGGGACAAGGACAGGGACAGCCATTCTGGGCACAGGGGATGGGGACACCCAGTGCCAGGTGAGGGGGACAGGGACACCCAGAGTTGGGGACAAGGTCAGGGACAGCCATGCTGGGCATAGGGGATGGGGACACCCAGTGCCAGGTGAGGGGGACAGGGACACCCAGAGTTGGGGACAAGGACAGGGACAGCCATTGCTGGGCACAGGGGATGGGGACAACCAGTGCCAGGTGAGTGGGACAGGGACACCCAGTGCTGGGGTTGAGCGAACATGGACACCCATGGCTGGGCACAGGGGAAAGGGATGTTGTTATGGCCCCCTCTGACCTCCCACACCCTCAGCGCCCTCCTGTCACCCCTGTCCCTCCCCCTGTGACCCCCTGACCCTCTCACCACATGGTCTCCCTGACCCCTCTCTTTTTCCCCACAGGTGGGAGCCTCCCCAGGAACTCCCCCCACCTTGGGGGACTTCTCCTGGCCACCGTGGCCATGGTGGTGGCCATTGGAACCCTCTAAGCCATGAAGCCATGGAGGTCACTCTGTTCTTGGAGGACACTGTGGCCACCAGGAGCCCCGGAGAAATGAGGCCACCAAGGCTACCAAGGCCACTGTGGGCACTCTGGTCACATTGGCCACTGTGACCACTGTGACCACTGTGGCCGTTATTGCCACTATGGCCACTCTGGTCACTCTGGGCATTGGAACCACCATGGTCAGCATGGCCATTGTGCCCACAGTGACCCATGATGTCACCGTGCCCGCTGTGGCTGCCGTGGTCACTGTAACTACTGAGGCCACCATGGCCACTGTGCTTACCAAGGTGACCGAGGTCACTGTGGCCACCATGGTCACTGCAATGAGGCGTCCATGCAGGGGAAGCCCCTCCGAGAGCTGCCCAGCGAGGGAGTGGCACCAGGGCAGCAGGACCAGCCCGGGGAGGATGGAGCAGCCAGGACAGCGCAGGACAGCACGGACAGCAGAGACTGGGCCGTGCTGGGGCCGCTTGGCCACTTCCCGACAGATGGCTTTGGGAGTGGCAATGTCATGGCCACCTCCCAACGCTCCTTGGCTACCTTACCTGATGTATCATTGCCGCTTGCTCGCCTCCCGTATAATAAATGTATCAAAAACTTGATCCTTGCTTGCCTGGCGCATCAAAAGTTTACCAAAATGTGCTGCTGGCTCGCCCGATGTATCCGCTGCAGCGCTTTTAAAGCATTTCCTGCAGGGCGCCTCATTTCCTAAAATAAAGCATTTCCTGGAGTTTTTGTTAGAGGTGACTTAAAGGTTTCGTTTTCAAACCTTGATCTCCAAAGAGGTGATGGAGAAATGTTCCTCCCTTTTTCCTCGTTGACTGCAGCCCCTCGTAAAGGCGTGGAGGGGCTCCAGCGTGTCCAGGGAAGGGATGGAGCTTGGGATGGGTCTGGAGTTCCAGGGGTGGCTGAGCGAACAGGTGGGGGCTGCTCAGTGCAATTAAAAAAGGATGAAAGATCAGTTTGGGGCCAGTTCTTAAGTAGCTGATTTGAGGTAACACAACAGAAGAAGCATTGGGAGGACAAAAAGTAACACAGAAAGAAAAAGGATGAAAAATAAAATGGAGAAAAGGGGAGAGAGGCAGCAGCTCTTGTCACAAGGATCTGTAAAATATATTTATGGACCAGATCCATATTGATGTTCTCCTTCTGTCCCAGGGAGGTGGAGGCTGCCCCGTCCCTGGAAGGGCTCCAGACCAGGGTGGGATGGGGTTTGGAGCAGCCCTGGAGCTCGGAGAAGGGCTTAGGGCAGGGTTACAACTGTGAGAAATGCCCCTGGAGCTCGGGGAAGGGCTTGGGGCAGGGACAGGGTAATAGAGAAGGTGGACTTTGGCCATCGTTGTTTTCCATCCCACCTGCAATTCGGGTCAGGAGCTCTCTCTGAAAATTCGACAGCGAAAATGTTCCACTTGGGTTGTTCTTCAGGCAAGAAAAATGAGTTCCCAAGGCCGGTAAAGGAGGAGCTCGTTATCCAGCAGGAATTCCTGAGAGCAGATTGTGTTCCTGATAATTCGGGAGGAGCTCGGCACAGGTGCTGCTCGTTGGGGTCTGATGGCATTTCTGAGATTATAGAGCAGCCCGAGGCTCGGGGAGAGAGGCAGCAGCACGCATTTATTTATGAAAAGCCCCGGTTTTCTCTCGGATCGGGGATTTTCCCCTTTGCCCGCTCGTCTCCGGGCGCTGCGGTTCGGGCTTTGCCCACCGGAGGGCGCAGCGAGCGCGGCAATCCGCGCTCCGGCTGCAGTTCCGGGTGCCGCCAGCAGGCGGCAGCACGAGCCGCGGGCGCTGCCGAGCGCCCGGCCCGGCCCGGCCCGGCCCGGCCCCGGGGGCTCTGCGGGGTTTGGGATGGAGCGGCCTTAAAGCCCGTCCGGTGCCAGCCCTGCCCTGGGCAGGGACATCTGCCCTGGCCCGGGCTGCTCCAGGGGAGCCATTCTCCTTTGCCCTGTCCTTCCATGGCCTTGTCCAAATGCCTCCCCTGCTCTCCTGGAGCTCCTTTAGCCAGTGGAAGGGGCTTTGGTGTCTTCCTGGATCCTTCTCCAGGCTGAACACCCTCAGCCCCTCAGCTGTCTCCACAGCAAAGGGGCTTCAGCCCTCGAAGCATCTCCGTGGCCTCCTCTGGACTCGCTCAAGTGGCTCACTTCTCCTCTGTGCTGTGGCCCAGAGCTGGCAGAGTGATCCCAGTGGGAATGTGTCACGGTGGGAAGGGCTCAGTGCCTGCCCCATTCCCATTCCAGAACCCACACTCCACACGGAGCACCCCAAGGGCTCGGGTGGCCCTCGCCTTGGCCTCTGGCAGCATCACCCAGCAGCTGCTCCTGTCCCTGGCTGCAGCCCCAGTGCCTCCCCTGGCACTGCGGGCACAGGGCCAGACAGGGCAGGAGGCAGCTCTGGGGCCAGTGGGACACAGGGACAAACAGGACAGCACCGGGGCTGGGGGACACGGGGACAAACAGGACAGCCACAGGGCTGGGGGACACAGGGACAAACAGGACAGCCCCGGGGCTGTGGGACACAGGGACAAACAGGACAGCCACAGGGCTGGGGGACACAGGGACAGCCAGGGCAGCACCGGGGCTGGGGGACACGGGGACAAACAGGACAGCCCCGGGGCTGTGGGACACAGGGCCAGGCAGGACAGCCCCGGGGCTGTGGGACACAGGGACAGCCAGGACAGCCCCGGGGCTGGGGGACACGGGGACAAACAGGACAGCCACAGGGCTGTGGGACACAGGGACAAACAGGACAGCCCCGGGGCTGGGGGACACAGGGACAGCCAGGACAGCACCGGGGCTGTGGGGACATGGGGACAGACAGGACAACCCCGGGGCTGGGGGACACAGGGACAAACAGGACAGCCCCGGGGCTGGGGGACACGGGGACAAACAGGACAGCCCCGGGGCTGTGGGGACATGGGGACAGCCAGGACAGCCACAGGGCTGGGGGACACAGGGACAGCCAGGACAGCCCCAGGGCTGTGGGGACACGGGGACAAACAGGACAGCCACAGGGCTGGGGGACACGGGGACAAACAGGACAGCCACAGGGCTGGGGGACACAGGGACAGCCAGGACAGCCCCGGGGCTGGGGGACACAGGGACAAACAGGACAGCCACAGGGCTGTGGGGACACAGGGACAAACAGGACAGCCACAGGGCTGTGGGGACACAGGGCCAGCCCCGGGGA